GCGTGCGTGCGTTGCGTGCGTGCGTGCGTGCGTGCGTGCGTGCGTGCGTGCGTGCGTGCGTGCGTGCGTGCGTGCGTGCGTGCGTGCGTGGCGTGCGTGCGTGCGTGCGTGCGTGCGTGCGTGCGTGCGTGCGTGCGTGCGTGCGTGCGTGGCGTGCGTGCGTGCGTGCGTGCGTGCGTGCGTGCGTGCGTGCGTGCGTGCGTGCGTGCGTGGCGTGCGTGCGTGCGTGCGTGCGTGCGTGCGTGCGTGCGTGCGTGCGTGCGTGCGTGCGTGCGTGCGTGCGTGCGTGCGTGCGTGCGGGCGTGCGTGCGTGCGGCGTGCGTGCGTGCGTGCGTGCGTGCGTGCGTGCGTGCGTGCGTGCGTGCGTGCGTGCGTGCGTGCGTGCGTGCGTGCGTGCGTGCGTGCGTGCGTGCGTGCGTGCGTGCGTGGTGCGTGCGTGCGTGCGTGCGTGCGTGCGTGCGTGCGTGCGTGGCGTGTGCGTGCGTGCGTGCGTGCGTGCCGTGCGTGCGGTGCGTGCGTGCGTGCGTGCGTGCGTGCGTGCGTGCGTGCGTGCGTGCGTGCGTGCGTGCGTGCGTGCGTGCGTGCGTGCGTGCGTGCGTGCGTGCGGTGCGTGCGTGCGTGCGTGCGTGCGTGCGTGCGTGCGTGCGTGCGTGCGTGCGTGCGTGCGTGCGTGCCGGTGCGTGCGTGCGTGCGTGCGTGCGTGCGTGCGTGCGTGCGTGCGTGCGTGCGTGCGTGCGTGCGTGCGTGCGTGCGTGCGTGCGTGCGTGCGTGGTCGTGCGTGCGTGCGTGCGTGCGTGCGTGCGTGCGTGCGTGCGGTGCGTGCGTGCGTGCGTGCGTGCGTGCGTGCGTGCGTGCGTGCGTGCGTGCGTGCGTGGTGCGTGCGTGCGTGCGTGGCGTGCGTGCGTGCGTGCGTGCGTGCGTGCGTGCGTGCGTGCGTGCGTGCGTGCGTGCGTGCGTGCGTGCGTGCGTGCGTCGTGCGTGCGGCGTGCGTGCGTGCGGGTGCGTGCGTGCGGCGTGCGTGCGTGCGGTGCGTGCGTGCGTGCGTGCGTGCGTGCGTGCGTGGCGTGCGTGCGTGCGTGGCGTGCGTGCGTGCGTGCGTGGTGCGTGCGTGCGTGCGTGCGTGCGTGCGTGCGTGGCGTGCGTGCGTGCGTTGCGTGCGTGCGTGCGTGCGTGCGTGCGTGCGTGCGTGCGTGCGTGCCGTGCGTGCGTGCGTGCGTGCGTGCGTGCGTGCGTGGTGGCGTGCGTGCGTGCCGTGCGTGCGTGCGTGCGTGCGTGCGTGCGTGCGTGCCGTGCGTGCGTGGGCGTGCGTGCGTGCGTGCGTGCGTGCGTGCGTGGCGTGCGTGCGTGCGTGCGTGCGTGCGTGCGTGCGTGGCGTGCGTGCGTGCGTGCGTGGCGTGCGTGCCGTGGCGTGCGTGCGTGCGTGCGTGCGTGGCGGTGCGTGCGTGCGTGCGTGCGTGCGTGCGTGCGTGCGTGCGTGCGTGGCGTGCGTGCCGTGCGTGCGTGCGTGCGTGCGTGCGTGCGTGCGTGCGTGCGTGCGCGTGCGTGCGTGCGTGGCGTGCGTGCGTGCGTGCGTGCGTGCGTGCGTGCGTGCGTGGCGTGCGTGCGTGCGTGCGTGCGTGCGTGCGTGCGTGCGTGCGTGCGTGCGTGCGTGCGTGCGTGCGTGCGGTGCGTGCGTGCGTGCGTGCGTGCGTGCGTGCGTGCGTGCGTGGCGTGCGTGCGTGCGGTGCGTGCGTGCGTGCGTGCGTGCGTGCGTGCGTGCGTGCGTGCGTGCGTGCGTGCGTGCGTGCGTGCGTGCGTGCGTGCGTGCGTGCGTGCGTGCGTGCGTGCGTGGCGGTGCGGGTGCGTGCGTGCGTGCGTGCGTGCGTGCGTGCGTGCGTGGTGCGTGCGTGCGTGCGTGGCGTGCGTGGCGTGCGTGCGTGCGTGCGTGCGTGCGTGCGTGCGTGGCGTGCGTGCGTGCGTGCGTGCGTGCGTGCGTGCGTGCGTGCGTGCGTGCGTGCGTGCGGTGCGTGCGTGCGTGCGTGCGTGCGTGCGTGCGTGCGTGCGTGGGCGTGCGTGCGTCTGCGTGCGTGCGTGCGTCGCGTGCGTGCGTGCGTGCGTGCGTGCGTGCGTGCGGTGCGTGCGTGCGTGCGTGCGTGCGTGCGTGCGTGCGTGCGTGCGTGCGTGCGTGCGTGCGTGGTGCGTGCGTGCGTGCGTGCGTGCGTGCGTGCGTGCCGTGCGTGCGTGCGTGCGTGCGTGCGTGCGTGCGTGCGTGCGTGCGTGCGTGCGTGCGTGCGTGCGTGCGTGCGTGCGTGCGTGCGTGCGTGCGTGCGTGCGTGCGTGCGTGGCGTGCGTGCGTGCGTGCGTGCGTGCGTGCGTGCGTGCGTGCGTGCGTGCGTGCGTGCGGTGCGTGCGTGCGTGCGTGCGTGCGTGCGTGCGTGCGTGCGTGCGTGCGTGCGTGCGTGGCGTGCGTGCGTGCGTGCGTGCGTGCGTGCGTGCGTGCGTGCGTGCGTGCGTGCGTGCGTGCGTGCGTGCGTGCGTGCGTGCGTGCGTGCGTGCGTGCGTGCGTGCGTGCGTGCGTGCGTGCGTGCGTGCGTGCGTGCGTGGGCGTGCGTGCGTGCGTGCGTGCGTGCGTGCGTGCGTGCGTGCGTGCGTGGCGTGCGTGCGTGCGTGCGTGCGTGGCGTGCGTGCGTGCGTGCGTGGCGTGCGTGCGTGCGTGGGCGTGCGTGCGTGCGTGCGTGCCGTGCGTGCGTGCGTGCGTGCGTGCGTGCGTGCGTGCGTGCGTGCGTGCGTGCGTGCGTGGCGTGCGTGCGTGCGTGCGTGCGGTGCGTGCGTGCGTGCGTGCGTGCGTGCGAATATAATTTTTATATCTAATGTCGGTGTTGTCTGAGTAATTATGCGTTAATAAATGCAGATGTAATTTTCGGTCTCGATCTCGAACGCCGGCTTGTGTTTACGAAAGCACGAGACGGCGCGAGTTTTTGCTGCGCTTTTTCCGCGAGGGATTCCGATGCTCCGAGAATTCTCTGATTCTCGGAATCGACGGGTGTTTTCGTGGAACTGTTTATCCCTCGGCGCCGCGATTTAATGTCCTCGTTTAGTTGATTCTAATCTATGCGCTTTAATAACGGCTGCGTGATATTAGATAGACGCAACGGCGTTTAATCGTCTGTTTCTTGATGCGAGCGTTTTGTTGCAGATGATGCGCTTTAATAACGGCGACGTGATAACGCGATTCTCAAATACGCAAAGCGTTTAGTGCGACGATATTCGGTAATAATAAAGTATGCGCTAGATAGGATCGTGTCGCGAAGGATGGGTTACGCGATGCAACTGGATCGAGAACACTCGATCCGGGGCGGCTCAGAGCTCTACCTTCCGTGAGAGTTTCAGCTGCGGATCAGGTGGATTGCACTTGTACGTCAGAACCGAGATCACTCGTTTGAGATGGAGCTCGCTCCACCTTTTGTCTTCGGTTACTTGTGCTTTGGCTAGAATTCTCAGGATTGCTTCTGAAGCGTATAGCTTAGAGCGGATCAGGAAAATGTAATTAGAGCTGAAATGTGACCCTTTTTATACGGGCTAATTGCCCGCGTCGGCACGCGGCGGTATAACCCCTTTCGAACGGGTTTTCGGAAAACGGTATGGTCGGGCCCGTTCGGAGGGGTAGGAGCCGAACGCGGGCTTTCGCCGGTCGGCGGTTCGAGCCATATCCGCTCTATTCGGCGGTGTTCGGCCGGGCAGCAGCTTCTGGCGGATGTTGTACCGGGAATCGTAACGATGCACCGGGATGCATCGTTATATATTAATATTATTTTAATATTATTTTAATATTATTTTAATATTATTTTTTCTTAGTATTAATATTATTTTTCTTAGTATTAATATTATTAATATTATTTTTCTTAGTATTAATATTATTGATATTATTTTTCTGAGTATTAATATTATTTTTCTTAGTATTAATATTATTTTTTAAGTATTAATAATATTTTTCTAGGTAGGCGATAAATCGACGCGCGAGATAAAAAAAGTCAGTCGTCGATAAATCGATAAGAGTACGCGTAAAACTAATCTACGATGCGGAAAACGTGCGAGGCGCGATGCGTCTCTGTTCATGTCGCGCAATTGATCGCGTCTGTTCAACCATCAGTTGTGCAGTTTGCACACGTTTTTCAAGGCGCAATTCTTCGTGTGATAGCCGCAGTGATAGCCGCAGTGATAGACGCGAGTCGAGGCTAGCGTTCGCAGGGGTCCGATATCCTCGTAATCGGCGTCGATGGTCTCGATCGTCAGGTCGCGCTGCTCCGCGACCTTTCCCGCGATGTCGGTCAGCCACTTCTTCTTCTCGCGACCCTTGACGTAGATCGTCACCGCGGCGTTCGACTCGAGATCCCTCGACGCGCGATATATCGCGTCGCGAACGATCTGTTTCGCGTGCCTATACTCCACATATCTATCGGTCCAGTGGAATTCGTGGTGATTCAGAGTCAGCCGATGGACAGGCCTGCGACTTCTCGCTCTTCGTCAGCAGATTCCACGACATCGGCGCGCGAAAGACGTGATGCATCAGATCTCTGCCGTTCGCGAGTATCGCCATCTCCTTCGTCACGAATCGCTCGTTGACGACGAAGCCCTGCAGATCGACGAAGATCGGCGGGGTGATATCGCCCGTGACCATCGTCGCGGTCATCGTCGAGAGAGAGACTGACGTTTATTCGCGTCTCTCCCCGATATCTTCGCGGTTTCGAGCTTTCTCTCTCTCCTCCCCATTCGACGCGCCGTCTTACAAAATCTTACGCACGACGTTCGTCAGCGGATTGTATTCCACCACGCAATCATGAATGATTAGACAGTACGCCGTGGTGTTAGAAGGAACGTTGTCCTTGCAGTCGAATTCCAGACGAACGTCCACAGTGGCGCTCTTAACCGCTTCGTTTTGGCGGGGACAATCTATCACCACGAGCGGGCAGTATAGAAATTTGTTCATAGTCAGGAGCGTCTCGTCGCTCGCTGGATCCGTACTACGTTCGTCGAAATCTCGCGTAGGCGTCGTACAGTACGATCTTGTTCTTATCGAAGTCCAAATTCATATCGTCGTACGGATAGAAGTCGGAATTGAGATACAACTTTACGTTGGTCAGATTGCACGCGTCGAATCTGGAAGCGTCCTGCAACAGGACGTTCTTCCTTCCGGTCTGCAATGCGAAGATGACGTAACACGGTTTCTCGAACTGCGTGGCCGCTTTTACGGCCCACGAGTGTTTGGTCGTGCTCTGCAGGAGCGGAAACTCGTAGAGATCCCACGAGCGAAAGGGCTAAAATATCTGCCGCTGTCCAACGTGCGCAACAGCGATAATTTATTGACGTCATTCAACACCACGTGCGGCACGCGCCACTGTATCTTCGCGAGCTCGACTCTCGGCTCGTATTCCTCGCGCGATATCAGACAATTGTCATTTCGCGCTCTTATCAGAATCAGCTCGTGACGCGCGTTGATGACGACGCGTCTGTAATCCTCATAGAAATCTAGCAGCGTGTCGAGAAGAACGCAGAAGTTGAAGTCGCCCGTCGACGCGACGCCGCTCGGTCCGATTGCGAGATCCCATCCGGCGTTCTTCAAGATCTTGCCTCGTTCGGACGTCAACGACGCATAGTTCTTGATCGTGCTCGTTATTCCTATGTTGCGATTACGATCGATCTCCACGCCTTCGAGCTCGTAACGTATCTCTTCAAACATAAAGGCGACGCAATTGTTCACGAGCCACGCCGGCGTCGAGGACACGGACGGCTTACCCGATTCGCCGCTCGACGCGGGCGGCGGATTATTCTTCGTATCTACCTTCGACGTAGAGAAAACTCTCGCACGGCAGCGTGAATAGGTCCTGCTGTTGTATGGGTATTCGTATCTCGTCGCTGTATCCGAAAGTGGTGTTGGCGTACGGATTGTACGTGTGACTCTCGATCTTCACGATGCGATCGTCGAAGACGGGTTCCCCGCTGATGCTCAGAATTTCCCTCATGTCGTCGAACTATCTCGCGGCTCTCGGTATGACGAAACCCATGGATCGCAGGAAAGCGACGTTGGCAGCGGACAATCCCCCGACGTTCCTCTCTCTCGAGCGCGCGACTCGAGTTCCCGCGACGCGATCGCAGTCACCGCCGCGATGCGACGTCGCGACGTTAGATTCGCGCACGACGAGCATCGCCCCGTTCCCTCCCCCGTCCTCGTGTCTCGTCGCGTGCTCTCTATCGTCTGCGTCCCACGTGCAATCGAATCGAGATCTTCTCGCCGCGGAAATCCATCAATCGACCGTCCTGATTGACGACGCGCAGCGATACGTCGGTCACGAGTCGCGTGATGATCGGCAGATAAATGATCTGCCTCAGGATCTCCGACACTTTATATCCCGGCGGAACGTTCGGCGCGAATTCGTGTATCGCGTGGGCGGATCTCCCGTTCACGTACGCGCCCGTCGTCAGGTTGCACTCCACGCGAATCGTGTTAACCGCGATAATGCTCACGGGCTCGTCGGACGCGTACCATTTGTTCGGTCGCAATACGCGAGTCTGGGAAAAACCTAATAACGATTCGATATTGTTCGGTTTGGTGAAATTAATTTGGTACGCGCATTTGATTTCGCTTCTCATGGTATTGTCGTTACCGCGTAGCGCGAGAACGCGATCGCCACCCCCGCCGCTCTCGTCCTCCGCGTCCTCGATGTCGTACAGTTCGTCGTCGTCGCCGTCGCTGGCGCCATCGCCGCCATCTCTCCCTCCGGTACTAGCGCTCGGCGGTCGTCGCCGTTTTCGAAGAATCGCGGCTCTCAGATACGCGCTTATGTCGCGCAGTTTGTAGGATCCGATTGGGATCGTGATCGTCTCGTCGTTGTCGTCGAAGTAAAATTTATTGTTCGAGGAATTCACGTTCGGAATCGTGTTGTAGGTCTCGAAATTGGTCAGGCCGAGCTCGTAATCGTCGTCGCTCAGATCGAGGGGCGGAAAGTAACTCGCCGTGAGAACGTTGCTTCTTCCGGTCAGCGTGAGAATCAACGACATGATGGCTCGCACGATCGCTATTAGAGACCGAAGGGCTTCTTCTTTCCTCCTCCCCAATCGACTCGTCGAAAGAAGTGCAGGCACAATTGTCCGCAGACACTCTGATCGTACGTCTGCTGAGAGTCGCGATTGTACGCGATGCGCGTGTCGCGTCCGAGATAGCGCACGATTTCCCGCGGCGGCCGAAGATTGCCGAAGGCGTCAAAGTAGATAGCGTCTTTTAGCGTACGCCACCCAATGCGTGCCAGGCCCCGAGGCGTCGTCCAGGTTCACGATACCGCTTTCGTCGCGACGAACGCGTCGCGCATGAACACACCTCTGAAGTGACGCACGCGAGCGCGCGCGGCCGCGCTATTCAACTGTTCGTTCGTCGTGACGCCGATCGGAGCTACGACGTCGTCTAACGCGCGTGGAGGCGCGACTTTTTTTTTCCTCCTCCTAACCGTTCGTCCGCCTCGTCTCGCGATGCTTTCGCCGCGCTTGTAAGGCGCGAGATACAAACCGCGACCCTCCATCGCTCGATTGTGTCGCTGCAGCTCCTCCAATTGTCGACGCGCGGCCTTACCGTCGTTCACCATCTTCGCCACGCCGGCCGCTCCGCTGATCAGCGATCCTAAAGCTCCGAGCGCCGGCAACAGCGGCAGGAAGCCACCACGTTTCGCCTCGGGAAGAACTCGTCCTCTCGTCGTCCTCCTCCTCGTCGAGATCGTTCTCCTCTTGCCGCCGCCGCCGCCGCCGCTCTTTCTCGCGCCTCTTCGCGCTCCAGTCATACCCATTCCTAGTTTCGTCTTCGCCTTCATAGCCGCCCATACGGCCGACGCCGCCACTCTCTCGCCGAAAGTCGAATCCCCGGCCCGGATACGCTCGAACGCTCTCGCTCCGAGCGCTCGATCCGCGACGTGCCGATTGGCGAGATCGTCGCTCCGCGAATAGGCGATGTGCTCGCGGCAAGCCGCGTCCAGCGGATTGACGCCTCGCGCGAGCCGCTTCGCGAGACGAGTACCGAGACCGCAAAACTGATATCCCGGTATATGTAGTTCGAGCAGAAAAGCGTTTATAGTTCTATTGAGCGAACCGCTACCGCCGACGACTGCCGTCGCGGCGTCCTCAGCGTATCTCATACGCCTCGATCGTCGACGCGCTCATCGTCACGCCATTTCGTTCTCCCTGCACATGCCGCAGTCTTTGATGCACGGCAGCGGACCATCAATGTGCGTGTCTTGCCACGGCTGATTGTGATGCTTGTGACAGAGGCGATAACGCTGCACGTCCGGATCGTTCTTCAGATGTATGGGCAATCTCTCCCACAATCGATCGACGAAATCGCAGTACTTGTCCAACAGAAGCTTCTTCGGAACGTACTGCAACTGATCGACGCTGAGTCCGAGAATATCGTAATCATTCACCAATAGAATAAACATGACGAAGCGTCGCGCGCGCGCGTAATTTTATCGCGTCACCGTCGATCGGACACATCTAACGGCGCGATCGTTTTTTCCCTCTATATATACGCTCGCGAGGGCGAATCCGCGCTCGTTGCTCGCGCGCGCGAGTCTGCGCACTGAGGCGTAGGTTCGCTCGCGACAACGAGGAAGAATCACGAGTGGAGAGAAAGAAAGAGAGAAAAAACGATGCGTTTCGTGCGTTAACCGATCGCGATAAGAGTGTCCAACGTCGACGGTAAGACGCGCTCGATGAACGAGGAACCGCAAAAACACGGTAATCTGTTACCGACCACAATTCGCTGCGTAATCTGCGGTCCCTCTAATTGCGGTAAAAACGAACGTGCTGATAAGTCTTCTGGAGAGCCCGCACGGCGTGCGATTCGAGAACGTGTATGTTTACTCGAAATTGTTGCATCAGCCTAAATATCGATATCTGGAGAAATTGTTAAAACCTATGCGGGATATTAGTTAAGTCACGTATTCGAACAACGCCGACGTCATCCCGCCTAACGAAGCGTTGCCGAACTCAATATTCGTGTTCAACGACGTGGCCTGCGACAAACAGGACGTCGTGAGAGAGTACTTCCCCATGGGGCAAAGGTCGATTGCTTCTATCTGTGCCAATCGTACGCTAAGATACCCAAACATCTGATACGCGACAACGCGAATCTATTGATACTCTTTAAGAAGGATGGCACTAATCTGAAACACGTGCACAGCGATCACGTGAATATCGATATGTCGTACGAGGATTTTCACGCGCTGTGTCGCGCGTGTTGGAAATACCGATACGGTTTTCTAGTGATCGACAAAGATAGCGCGCTGCACAACGGTAGATACAGGGTTCAACGATTACGCCGTGCCGTAGGGCGTCGCGAACGTCGTCGTCGTCGTCGAGGATGAGTCAGTCTTCCCGAGACGGAGGCGATCGTAGAAGGGAGAGAGATAAGAGAAGGCGAGACGCCGAGGAACGACGTGTGACGGACGTCGACAGACGCGAAAAAACCGCGATAGAAATAGCGAGAACGCGCGCGTCGATTCGCAGGAAGCACAGAGCGTTGAAGACCGGAAGGATGGAGAGCGATAGTGCTCTGGAGACGCGTTTCAAACCGATCGTCGAACCATTGCGACGCATCGTCGAGCGCGTCAGAGACGATTCCGCGCGAGGCGTGAGCGCGAGAGAGAAGGAACCGGCGAAGAGCGAGATCGACGAGGCATTCGCGCGAGGCGTCAAAAGAACGGTGGCGCCGGAGGAGGAAGAGGAGTAGGAGGACGAGGAAGAGGCCGAGGAGAGCGCGTTACCGCCGCTGTCCGCGAAAGGATTCAAAGCTAAGCGATCTCGCCGTCTGGACGCGACGACTTCCACGCCCGTGAGAGCGTTGGACGTGTCTCCCGCGCAACAGCGCGAATTCGCGAGCAGAGATCTCTTCGCGGAGCCGCCCGTCGAAGAGACGTTCGAGACGAGCGACGACGTCTTCGGATCGCCGGCGACGCTCGAAACGTCGGTGAGACGGTCTCTGCGGACTCCTCGAGGACGAGATATCTTGCGCGATCAATTGGGCGCGTTGGCGCGAAAGTACGTGGGCGCTCTTCTCAGCGGCGGCCGAGCGATTTCGATCACGTTTACGGAGTCTACTTTGCCGACGCCGGCACAATGCTCGGAAACAAGCGATTCGACGTAGGTGCCGACGACGCGATATTCATGGACGGAGTCAGATACGCCGGCACTCCCGGTCTGTACGAATTGATCTTCAAGAGAATTCCCGACGATTTCAAGTACACTGAGAGACAAAGTCGCGTACAGGAGTATACTTCTGCAAACTAATGCTCATAGGCGCGAGCACAATATTCGCATGCCCGTACTAGGAAACAAGGGATACAAGTACAAGCACGTCATAGCTCCGATCCTGCAGACGGACAGTCCGAGAAAGAGAATCGGCGGGGCTCGCGCGCCGCCGACCGCGCGCGTGCCGCCGGCCGCGCGCGTGCCGCCGACCGCGCGCGTGCCGCGGGCTATGCGTGTGACCCGCGACACCGTGGATTACGTCCACTAGGACGATCCGAACGAATTGGTGGATCGTCTTCGATTGCTGGACGCTTCTCGTCAAGCCGGCAACAACGTTCATGACAACGAGATTCTGTCGATTATCGAGGAGCTTCGCGAGGCGGACGAGATATTGTGAGACAATCGTGGAGGACTCTTACTTATAGGACGAATACTTATACAAAATTACAATTAGTTATAAAGGGCTTGTAGAGCGAGAAAATAAGTATATTGCAAAGGTTTAATTATGTCATGATGTATATCAAAATAAGTTTATGTCGACGGTGACATCACAATAATACAGAAAAGATCAAAATATAGGTACGTTAAAGGCGAACGTTTCGATCGATTTTTCGATCCTCTTCAGCGCAAAAATATAATACATGAACAGCGAGTGAAATAAACGGAAAAAGAGTTAAAAATATGACCAAATAAAACGCATTAAATATGGTTGTCTGATAACGGCGCAATAAAA